TGACTGTTTTCAGTTTCTCTAGCAGAACAGTTTTAATAATTCCACCTTTACTAAAAAAATACGGCGACCATTCGTTTACCGACAGACTTCGATTTTCGAAGTTGCACTGGCACTTCCTCGTCTTCAAAGACCCAAACTTTATTTTGAGATTTCGTAGGAACATCGTGAAATTCACACAATGAAATTCACTTCCGCAGCAGATCCAGATTTAAACTTTTTCAGCACTTTTTTACATCACTTGACACGATTCTCTTGTTGTTCGGCACTAAAAGCATGGGGTACCCACAATGTGCACAGCTTTCTCACAGACAACTGTTCCGAACTAATCCATTGTAATGTTGATTTCGGAATGCGCAGAAGCTCTTCTAATTGTCTATAAGTGATTCTCCTATTCACTTTTATTGCTTTCCGAACAACATCAACTGTTTCTTGGTTAGTAACGTCCAATGGGCGTCCTGTGTGTGGTTCATCTTCAAGAACGAAAATTCCTCACCGGAATTGTAAATACCAGCTTTCTATAGTTCTCAAGAAAGGACAATTCTCACTAAACACTTCCGACATTTCGTTGAAACATTCTTCTTTACTTGATTATTACTTGTACGTGATTACGTACAAATTTTTAATAAATTATCGCACGAAAGTCACGTCTTGTGAGAGTCGCCATAACGTATAATTTCAACTGCGATATCTCACATTATATTGACAGGTTAGCGACAGGGTTTACGATGTATACTTAAAACGAGTCGCCCTATTTAATGGCGCAATCGAAAATTTTCTTCCCCTTCTAGCAGGACCGTATGACAAAAATTATGAAACAACTATGTAATAGACTAGATTCTGATTTTATCACTCCTCGATCATCATTTCTACGGAGATAGTGTCAACATACCGAGCTACCCGGCAGAAGAGAGTACCCGACGGAAACGTCTCCACAGACCGGCAAAAGCCCAGGTGAAATACTGGCGCCCCGCTGGAGAGAGGCAAAGGGCTATATAGCGGGCGGATATAAGGTTTTGTTACGGTTAAGGGCAGGGGAGGAACCCCCTGGCCCAAGTTAAGGATGTGGTGCTCAGTTGTCGCCCGATGCCCTGGGGAAGCGGCCGTGGAGGATCTTCAAAAGTTACGTACCGATTTGCTAAGGAACGCTCTCGATTTGGTTTAAAGGGACGGTTTGGAGGAAAGGAAGAGTTATCGGCTATAAGCATCTCGACCAATCAGAATGATTAGTTCTTGAATTTGACTATTGTCAAAGCAGTCTGTACACCAATCGAGGTGTCACGAGCTGGGTCGCGGTCCCGTGCTGTCTGTTGATAGTTTCTTTAGCTTTGTTTGGATACGGTATAGAACGTTCTCGCCTGTGCAGTTCCCACGTTGCTCTCGCGATATCTAGGAAATTCTTTGGATTTCCTGAGTGTGTTCCGGAGGCGTAGTTCTGTGCCCTAGTGCAGTATCCGCCTGAGTGTCTTTGGGATAAAGTTCTCGGTCTTCACGGATTAGTTGCACCAGCTCCGGCGAGGACTCCTAATTTATTAATTGGCGAAGGGAATTTCGATTTTGTAGCTCCGATTCGTTCTGTTACGTTGTCGATCAATTGCTCTCTGTATCCCGCACTATTTGCCTGACGCTTACTCCGACCCTTTCTACCTCAACCTAGCAGCCTGAGCATTTTCGTAACCGTCCGCTCCTGTTCGTGCATCCAGTTGCGTTTGCTTATTTTACGTGACCCTAAAGGTCAGCAGCTAAGACTGCGTTTATGTGTCCCTATAAATCGACAGGATCCATTAAGTTATCGTATTTTCTAATAAGTTCCATCAGAGTTGTCGTTTTCGCGGAGTTGGGCCTGTTCCACTCTCCCGAGTCATACCGGCTTGTCAGTTCCCGCTAACAAAAGAATTGGTTGAGGCCCGCTTAGCTTGCCGATGCATGAGCGGAGAGTGGACGGCCGTAGGTAACGTAGGTTGGCTGTAGAAAATATTATAGTTAGTACTCGGATTTTTTTTCGCTACCGGTGTCGGGTCAAGAAAATACGTCGAATTACAAAACATATACTACTATATCAAGTTACTAATTATTAACATCATATAAAGTCCTTCCCAAAATTTTTCGTACATATAACATATAGAACACATTTGCTGGCAGAACAAAAATATTAAAAAATTGTTAGTTACTAAAATGATATATTTATTAAATTTTTGGATATGCTTTTCAGTATTCTGTATTAGAAAATGTTTATAAATATAAAATTTTCGTAATGAACCATTTTTTATAAGTTTCGCGAGCAAATTTGTATACGATTATATAATCAATCGTGAGAGTAACAGTAAATTGGATAATATTGTTTAAGGAATTATAAATAAATTTTATTAACAATTTCATTAAATAATTCTTTATAGCTATATACCACCTGGAACTTTGGTTCCTCTGTCACCATCGTCTCCATGTCCAGTCTCAAATGCATGTGTTCGTGAGTTTTATTTAATTTCATTAACATCGCTTAAACTTGGGAAATCAGCATATCGAATAGCTAAAAAAAAGGCATATGATTGCTGAATATCTTATGCTTAAACGCCATTTTTCGTTTAATCATGCTATATTATAACCATGTCATGTTTCACACTTATCAAATAGTACATGGTCTCATGTTGACTTCCTATGGCTAATTAAGTAACATTCATTTCTAATTATTATGTAACATTATTTTAGCCTGTACTGCTTGTTGATGATTACCGAAGAAAATTTCAGAAGGTAACAATGGTTTTCGAAAACTGTACGATATTTATATATTTTTTATCTGATATACATAAATTTCACTTTCACTGATTTTATGTTTGTTTTTTTTTACCTATATCATTTTCATAAATGCGTTTGTAAACAATTTAATAAAATTCAACAATTTTATTACCTGACAACAACGTGTGAAAAATACTTAACCGACCGAAAATTATTATACGTACCCAGTGTTTGTGTATGTACATTTCAAATATATATATTTATGTCATAGTATCTAACATCGACTATAATACATAACATTATATTCGTATCTTAGTTACTAGTATGTGAATCAAAATTACTGATAAATATTGAACATTTTTATCAAAAAGAACTCTTTGTATACAGTACGAATAGTTGATCATATTTTGTTATACACTGGATTGTAATGATCCTATCAAGGAATCTAATCTAACTTCTATATCAACACATTACATAACATAGATTTTATCTTAATAGAAATTGAGGCGATATTAATGTATATGTCTTGTGCAAAATCTTCATAATGTGTAAAACCTATTAAATTGTTAAGTAGAAAGTAATCGTAAGATAAAAATTCTACTCAAATCAAACGTCGTGTAGATACCATATTAAGAAACCGGATTGTCACAAAATAATATCTATTAGGTATACTGATGAGTGTAGTATAATTTTATAGGCCCCCCCCCCCCCTACAAAATTGGGGGGGGCTGTTAGAAGGTCGTTTAGAAGTTTTAGTAAACTATGAGTAGCAAGAAAGTAGACGCACATTTGAAATTATGGGGAGTTCACTTCCGTGTCTGAGCGCCACAAATGTGACCTTTGCTTGCAATGATCGGTATCGAAAAAGAAAGCACCTTCTACTTTGATACACCGATCAACCTTGACTACGAATTTTATACATTTAATATCATTTTGTATATCGTGAACAAGTGAGGTGTTAGTATTTATTAATAAAACAACAGCCTATTAAATTGTTATTTGACCCTATTCATTGTGTATAAATGAAGGCCATGGCCACAAATGGGTCAAAGCTATTTTGATCAGCAGAAGTCCATTTGTGACCAATTAAATATTAAAAACTTTCGATTAAGATTTCCATAGAGATACTTTAACTAATACTTTCAAAATTAATTGAAAAATTTAATAGATTAATAGTATCGAAAATAAGTAAAAGCATTACCTATTGTGGCTAAAAATGGTACAGCGGCCACAAACGGTACACCTACTCTACGCTGCTTTGAAATCGTTAGCCATCTTTAAAAAATAACTGGTTCGACCAAATCCGCCGTTTAATATTCTAATTAAAAAAAACTACTGCATGAGTTATTCTTATCTGCGTGAATAAACAGTGTCTTATTTGTTAAAACTTGAATAATACAATATATACAAATAGGATATTACGAATTCATTGTGTTTTTTGATACAATTCTTAGCAAATAACACATGGTTTTCCATAAAAGTACAGAAATGTATGATAAAATAGAAAAATGAAATGTATTTTAATATACAATCATGTCTTTAAAATAATTTGAAACAAAAAATGTATACAGAACCATGCATGTCTTGCTAGAAACTTTGTTTTCTTCGATCTATCAAAAAAAAAACATTGAACTCATGGACGGATTATAGACGTTGAAAACTTTTTATTTCGCATGTATCTAGTATTCTTGACTAAAAATTGCATAATATAATATATTTCCACACATAATAATCTATCGTGACATATGTTAGATAAATGATTTTGTCTTTTTATGTGCCTTCTATACAAATATCGAAAAAATATGTGCTTCATATACAAAATATATCGATATATAATGAAATATTTATTTGACGAAAAAAAATTTACGTCTGTGAACCAAATAGTTCCTGCCTGAAATGCGTAACATCAGCAGAAATATTATAGATATTCCCATTGTGATATATCACTCTGTGGATTATTAATATAAGCAAGACTATATATATCTGCACAATTGTACTCTCATGCATCGATATAACAATCCAATGTTTATATAATGTACATAATATCATTTCTTAAGTGAAATCGCGTGGTATCTATTTGCCTGGATAGCTTTCGACAATTATCTTGTGCCCCGCCGCTGTATACGATATACGTAAATGTAAAATGATGCTTGAAGGAGCAGCAGTAGAAAATAGAGGTACTGCAAGATGGACTAGTAAGTAGAAGGAGACAAAATGGACGAGTGGGGATGAAATGAGACTCCCTGTATAAAAGAGGATTTCTTTCGCCTCCTTTCCTGTATTATTTCGCCACTGTTGTTGTGACAGTCTTGATACGGCAGTTTGCATTAACAAATAGTCCATTGATCGTAATTTTTATCGTTTACGTGACACAAGATGAAGTTTTTGGTAAGCGGAAAATATTGTTTATTTTTCAAAATGAAATTATTTTCAATTTTTGTCATGTCATCGTTTTATTTTTATGTTTAAGATGTCTTTTGAATTGATCTAAGTTCTTTTTTACTTTAAAATGATTTGATATCGTTTTAATAGTACTTTTGAAACTATATTACGTGAGATTGATAAAGTCAGAATTAAAATAGAATTAACTTAATAAAATTATTAAATTCTATAAATTTGTTGTGACTTAGTCCTTCTAAGTCCCAATGTAAATTAATACTTGAATCAGGATGATAAGTCATTATCAAGCTTATTAAAAGAAATAAATAAATATTAATTATATTAAATATTGACGAAAAGTTTAAAAATAATCAAATAAACCGTATAATAAATCATTATTTTTAATCAAATTCTGATTTGTGAAAAATGTAATAACTCTGCTAGAAACACACGAATATTGAAGAATATATTTACAAATTTATCAAATTGATATCATAGACCTATAGTGGCCTACTCTGCGTTAATTATGCTTAAAGTCTAAAAAATATGTTTGTGATTAAAAGCAGAAGAAGAAAAAAACAAGAAATATCTTTGTTCCGTTTACATAAAGAAAACGTTATAAACATAAAATATAAGGATATACAATAATAAACATAAGCATATATCGAGCTATGTCTATCTATAAATATTTTATAATAAAAATTGACACTACTTCAGTTTCTCTTTTCAAAATTATAAGAAAACTAAAGTTCTAGTTATGCATTCGTAATGTAACCAAATGGTATAGAAGTATCAAGAACTTTCTTCAACGAATCTTTTAAATACCTACAGTCAATTTGACTACTGAGTATTTGCATGCTTTCATGAAATCAGAAATAGAGGTAAGACGAGAATTCATAAATTATATGGAACAAAATCTTATGGGATTGGCAGCATAGCATTGCATGACGTAACGTGGTATAGTGTGGTATTACTAGACACATAGTCAATCCACGAGTTCAATGTATCTTTTCGACATTTAGCAAAATTGTAATTCTTAGCAAATCATACGTAGCTTTCCATAAAATGATGGAAATACATGCAAAAAATAAAAAAATAAAATATATTGCAATACAAAACCATACATATACATATGTTGCACAAACATTGTATACAGAGCGCCCCATGGCTTGCTTGAGACTTACAATTAATTGCTTTCGATCTGTCAAAAAAACACGTCGTACTCGTGGATCGACTAGCACATAGCACATCATGAGTAAGAATGAAGTGGTCTGAGATGAGATGGGATGGTATGGAATGGGTTAATAGGTCGGGAGTTAAATGACCCATGATGGCATTTCGTTTTCACTTTCACTCATCTTCGTGTTGCCCCTAACCTGCAAATAAAATAAGAATCGGGAAGTAGTTACCAGTGTATCTTCTCTACGTCTGCTAAGCTGGATTTCTTCAAATTGCACAATTCGTGTAGATTTTTGTATGAAAATAGTTACGTAATTTTGTGTATTTTTTCACGGAGTCCACGGACTTTTCTAAACATTTTCTAATTTCCCCAGTTGCAGGTGCTTCGTAATGGACCAATACTAATTGTCCCGGTTTCAATTTTTCTGCGCACTTGTGCTTCTTATCAAATTGTTTACCGGATGCTTCTTTGTTCTTTTGTAAAAGTTCTGAAAGATTCTCGCATTCCTCTTCGACTGCGAATTCTTCATTTAGTTCTTTTATCTCACGAGTTAAAAACTGCAATCGGTTTATTCGTCCCTGTATCCTTCACGGCTTCCAACATTATGTATTTACCATAGGTGAAAATTACACCCAACACATATTTATTCTCTCTCCTTATCTTGATGAAAGGCCCCAAATAGTCAACGTGAATAGTCTCGAAAATGCGAACTGTCAGTTTGCGCTTATGGGAATCGGTCACAGTCACATGTAATTTTTTGAAGAGACCACATTGCCGTGTCGGCCACTTGCAGCCAACTTCTGCTGATGCGTTTCTACTGACTCACCCTGTATGTAAATTTCTTCGTTGTGGATTTCTCCTGTCATTTCGTCTTCCATATATACTTGCAATCCACTCCACGTGCAATTGTTTGTCCTTTTTTCATCGTCATCTAGTTACTACTTAAATTCATTATTGGTGTGACGAATTACCCTTTTTCATTTGTCATGATAATACATCGTGGTATTGTATCACCCGTTTTCTTCTTTGAAAACATTGGTTTGGGTGTTGGACGTATACATACAGAGTCTACTATGAAATTATCCCCACTCTTCAAATCCAGTAATAAATCGATTGGTTCTTTATACCGAGAAAGAGGTCGCAAATTTCAACAGTATTGGGACATTGTCCAACCCCCATCGGCGATCCATTTGACGTTTTTACATTTTCCCCTTTGAGCATTGTTGTATTGTAATAATTTCTCATAAAAATATTCTTTAATATTTTATTCCAAATTCCGTTTGTAGTTCTGAGCCTCCAAAACTTTCTTGATATCAGCTTTTTCGCTTAAAAACGTATATTTTAATAGTGTTTACCAGTCCTTCCATGTTGAGTCGGCTGCTTCAAGAATATCCTTCGATTTTTTGTGACATCTTCGAGTTTTGATAGAACATAGGGCTACGTGGTTAAATCATCCCAACCGCACCTATCTGCATACTCTTCTATTTTATCAATCCATTGCTTAATTTCAGCATCTCGGAGTATTGAATCGAAGCTCGGTAAAACTTTTAATAGATCCATGGAACTACGTATTTCTACTTATAGGATTATTCAACAGATTTAATCTGTCTAATTTTTGGAGATTAGATCCCAAGTCCAGTAACGTAATATTGTTCGACAAACATTAATGGTCTTGAACTCCTATGTTATTTTCAGATTGTTGTCCCGATGTTGATTGCATTAAAGTCCGATGCGTTGTTTGGTCTGTCCCGTACACTGGTGTCTGGTCTGTCGTGTCGACTTGAATTTTCTTCATACACACACATACATTCGGACATTTTCTCCAAACGTGTTTTCTCGATGTTTTGGCACATTCTGAACATGGTGACATGAAAATCTCAACAGGAAAATTCTCCACCGTCACATAGCTTCCTCTATGAGGAAGCAAACACTGTAAAATAATTTAATAATATAATTTTCTGTATTATTGTATGTAAATCAGTATTGTAATTAAAGTAAATGACCATTTCTCGATTTGACAGTGTTACTCTGGAACTTATTAACATTTCACTGATTATTATTCACCTGAACTAGGTGGAAACCCCATTAAAGGAAAGTAGGATAACTCGAAAATGTCGAAGCACGCTCGAATCCATGCTTCGCCCGCGCCGTCCGTGCGCGAGTTGTGAGCGTGATCACGTATTATGAATTTTATTAAAAAAAATATTCAACGATCCACTTTCAAATTTTCAGGCAATATTCTCTGTACTATAATAACAAATTACAGAAAAAATGATTCAATTTGAAGCTGCCCTTTTTGAAATACTACAAATTGTTTAAGAAATTGTTGCATAACAATTATTAAACGACCGAATTTTTGACGATTAAAGCGTGGACTTCAAAGTGAACCCTATTGCACATTTTGCCCTGCAGTGCTTTGCTTTTAGTCGAAAAGTGGACGATGCACGATACATTTAAAAAAGAACGGGTTTTTTGGAGTCGATAAATTAAAAAATCGATATTTCGAAAATTCTTCATATCATATTGAAATTAAAAAACACGTGTCATTTTTTCCCCCCTCAAGAACAAGGGAAACAATTTTCAGGAAAATTAAAAATTTGGTTTCAAATCTGACGTGGTTTCAAATCAACCCATATACATATAACTAGTATATCCTATTTCAAGACCGAAAGGTCGAAATAAACGAATTCTATAACTAGTATATTAAATCTATATCATTTTCATAATAAACAAACGTTTAAAGTCAGTTACGCGACACAATCCTTAATAAATAATATTTTAATAGTTAAAACAAATATAGTAAGACATGAACTAGTTTTTAAAGAAAATATAAGAAAATTAATTAATTTGGAAGCATTTTATCTACTGCTGAAGACCATCTTGCACTTGACACATTCAAAGCCATTTATTACAAGATATCTCACTTAAAAATAACAAAATCGCCTGTTTTTATAATCATTATAATGATAAACTATAGGTTGAATTTAGAATTAGCAACTACACTGCAATTGGCCAATTGGTTAATCGAAATGAGCGTTCCTAGTTAAAATACACAGTAAACCGACCTCTCTATGGCACATCTAAAAGAATATCAATTATACATTACAAATGAATAAACAATTAAACCGCGTATAAATTTCAAAAGTAATATCATTTTCAAGTAACCATAGTCTAAAGTAACATAGAATAACGCAATTACTAACTTTGAACATTACTCAAATGAATTTTGCGTGTTAGATATTGACAGTTGCAGTACTAGGGGTGGCAATTGCACAAGAACCAGTTCCCCAAGGACGTAATAATTACAAAAGAGATGACAGGGAATTGAACATTGACGACAGGCGTACCACTACCACACCAATTCCTATTATCGAATGGCACAAGCAGCAAGAACATGATGGCACTTATCGAGCGGGGTAAAATGCAATATATCAGACAGCACAGAACGTTCTCGGGATATCTTTACTGTATCCTGAATGTGTCAAATCTACCCTGATAACCTTAGGATCACCTTAGGCTGTCGTGCTTCGGATACATATTTATGAGTCTTGGCATAAGTCATTAAGATCATCTTTAGGATATTCTCAGGATCGACAGGATGTTCTGCAAAAATTATATAAGTTTATTTTTGTATATTTATTAACTTCTACTTACATAATATACATACATAAATTTATATAAAGTTCTGAATATAAATGAAGGGTATATCTCGTAACTGGATCACGATTGCGCTTATTAAATTTTAGCCAATTGCATCGATTGATTTCGACGATTAACAAAATCAGTCGATGTCGTTCGACTGAATTTAATAACCGCATCGTGGTTCAATTACGGAATATAGATTAAATTAGCATCAGCATGTAGTATAACACTTTAACCGGATGGTGATATTAATCTGTGTATCGCATTTTCTGACCTACGTTCTGTCTATAATCCCAACGTGGCATTCCGCGCATCCCTTGGGCGCCAAGTGCATCCTTGCACCAACCCGATTCGTTAGGCCTTTAATTTCTAATCCGCGGCACGTCAACTCTGGTTCTTCTCGCTAGCTCCTAATCGGGCATGGTAGAAGGGAATGTGAGGGCGGCGAATCTCTACAAGAATCAGCCGGGGTTTTTGGCAATAACTAACACGGTGGGATTTAATTCCAACAATGGCCATTTATTTTCCCTACCGGAATATCCATTTAAGATATCGATGGGATTTCCTCAGGACTTCCTTGTGCTGTCTGGATTATTTATATACATTTTTTGGATTCTATTTATGTAATATATAAACGTATATATAATTCTGAATATAAATACATATATACATATACATATTTCTTAATTGAATCACGGTTGTGATTATTTAATTTCAGCCAATGGCATGAATGATAGTTTACTGAAGCTAAGTGCTAAAAGGAGAATCACACTTTTTCTTATTCTTACCTTTCTTAAATTGTACATACAATTCTTAGCTAATCACAACACATGTCGGAGAAATCGTATCCAGAATATCCATTTAAGATATCTACATATAGGATTTCCTCAGGACGTCCTTGTGTTGTCTCCGATAACACTATAAGGATAGCAGTTTAAATACTCTAATTTATCCTATTTGATAATTTCTACATGGCCAAAGAAATTATACACAAAAAATCACTAATAGCAAAAACATCCCAAAGATACCATCTCAGGCCAATACCAATGTATATAATAAATTATATAATTATTCAGCTATGAAACTGGAAACAACATCATCGCCGAGGAGAGTGGCTATATCAAGAGTTTTGGCGAAGGCGAGGATAAAAGCGAGGCACTGGTGCAGCAGGGTAGTTATAGTTACATTAGTCCTGAGGGTCAACTAATCACAGTTCACTATACGGCTGACGAGACCGGCTTCCATGCAACTGGAGATCATATTCCAACTCCTCCTCCAGTCAGTGAAGAAATTCAAAAAGGATTGGACCTCATCTATGCCGGCATCCGTCAGCAGCAGGTATAAAGATACATTGAAATTCATTACCAAACGAAATTAACCGTTGCCAATTTGATTTATGGCCAATTTCTTCACCTTCGGATAAAATTTATCCTCCGGATAAATCCCTAGCTAACCAATCATTTTCAAGTTTTAGGGATTTATCCGGAGGATAAATTTTATCCGAAGGTGAAGAAATTGGCTATTAGTCAATTGTCTGTATCTTATTTGATTTAATCAATTTTCTAAAAAAAAAAAACAATTAAAATCAATTTTCTAAACTATATGTTACTGAAATTGAACGTTGACTGATTAATAATTAGTATGGAATTGAGCTGCAAGATCAGGCCTTTTGAAGTAGTGTAACGCATTTCCTGACCTACGCTCTATCTATGACCCCAACGTGGTATTCCGCGGATCCCTTGGGAACCAGGTGCATCCTTGCACCAGCCCGACTCATCGGGCCTTTAATTTCTAATCCGCGGCACGTCAACTCCGGGAGTCTTCTCGACCGGATCTACCGGCTAGCTCCTAATCCGACATGGTAGAGAGGAACGTGAGGGCAGCGAGTATCTACAGGAATCAGCCGGCTTCTTTGGCAATAACTAACACAGTGTGATTTAATTCCAACAATGGCCCTTTATTTTATCTAGGTAAACGAGTACAGTCGGGTGATGTATACGACCGCGGCTCTATACAATTCTAACACAAAACGCGGTCGCGGAGGTCATCTCTGTTAACGGCGGACGGTTCGGATCTACAACCGCCAGGACACGTGGCGAGGCCCGCAGCCCCCCACTCCTCGTTCCAAGATGCACCGGCGGATACGCCTCATCCCCGACCGGTGTGCTGCATGGCTTCGGGGCGGTCGTCTCAACTGCACTTACCGATTCTTCCGGTGCACCGTACCTTTCTTCCTTGTCGATCGAGTGGTGGTGGTTGGCTCTTTTCCTCCTCGTCGACCGTCTCCTTCCTCGGTCCCTTCTAGTTCCGTAGGAGCGCCGAAGTCGTCGATAGGTCCAATTTCCCATATCACGTCCACGGAAATTGCCATGTTGCCCAAAAGGTCCTGTAAATCTCACACACTCTCACCACACTCAACCCAGAAAAATCGCGATACCTTATCCGCCGATTTTCGGTATTCCCGTTTCGCGGTTCACAACGAAGTGGCCCCCCTTTCGCCCCCCGATCCGAGGATTCCCGAAGAATCCCGAGTTCACCCAAACTCGTACGTTTGCTATCGCCTCGGTCCGCTCTTCGTTTTTCGGCGCTCATAGCCCACCAGTCTCCGGGCGGCGCCGATCTTACCCGAGCCCGCCCGATTTTCGGGCTTTGCGGTACCGGTTTCACTCCCTGGCTTTCTCTTGCCCTGAACCTCCGTCGTCGTAGGCATTCTCTTGGCGGATTTCGTCGGCGGCACGGCTCTCTGTGCGCCTATGTGGTAACTGGCCGTCCCGCGAACGCCATGTTACAGTAGATACAGCATTTTCAGTTATACCTAGTTCGGTATTCATAAATATGGATATTAAGAAGTATTGCACCAACCTAAGTTAGTCTGTTCAATTTTATTTCTATGGTAAAACCACCTGTACGTAGTACAATACTGCTAAATAATTCGTGTGTTGCTTTAGCAATATGATAAGTACTTTATATTATACATTAGGGTGGTCGTTAAATAGTGTCTGATCGAATTTCGTTCGTGCCGCCCCCCCAAATCGTTTCCTAATAAATAAAAAATAATCCTTGAATTTTTTCAGTATTTTTGTTTTTCATTTACCTCCCCCCCCTCCCGACGGTTGAAGTTTCCCATTTAAAATACATGGAGTTTTCAAGTCTTCACAGTCAATATTTTATTCTGGGACTAATTAACGGTATACAAATTTGAAACTTAGACAAATTACTTTACAAATGTACTACAACAAGGAAAAAAAATCACCACCCCCTACCCTAATTTTTTTTATGGATTGACTCATATAGAGATGATGTTACTTTTTTAAATTATCTAGTGATGCTCAATAGCATCGAAAATATCTTTATCAATGTTTTGCTTCCTCATAGAGGAAGCTATGTTTTCATGACAAATTTTTTTTTCGAGATTTTCATGTTAGAATGGTTTAAAACGTCAAGAAAAGTAGTTTAGAAAAAATGTCCGTGTCCGTGTGTGTGTGTGTGTGCGCGCGCGCGCGCGTGTGTGTGTGTAGGGCTTCGAAAATTCAATTGCCTCTTACTCAGTAACCGTTAGAACGATCGGACTGAAATTTGGCACGCAAGTAAAGTAGATATCCCTCTTTAAATGTTGCGATTTTTAATGAAATATATGCAGCCATTCAGATTTTATGTCATTTAAAGTTTTTTGAAAAAAGGGCGGGTCGCTCTAACTTTCGTAAAGGTTCGACGATTTAGCTAAATAGTTCTTCATAACTGAAGATACGTTCAATGTTGTTTGGTATTGAATTTCGACAAGATCGCTAAAGCGGTTCAGATTTTACGTGGTTTTGAAATTTTCAAAAAATTATCGTTATTGTTTTGTTTTTTTTACCTCATTTTTAATTTTTTATTCCTGTAAGTACCAAAGTTCAATTGTACATAACTCGCGAAAATAAATCAAAGAACTTCCTCATAGTGAAGGCTTTGTGAACGAAGGAAAAGAATCAAGAAGCAAAGTGTAAGATTCTACTTTGCATCATTGTGATAGAAAAAACTAGGTAAAATAATGAGGAAGCAATTTGCAAGGTTCTACTTTGCGCCCTTGTTTTTTTTTTTTTAACATTGTATATGGGAATATCATCATTAGACAAAAGGGGAATGGTATATCTAAAGTAAAAATGAATTCGGAAGGGGGTAGGGCTGATGATTTTTGGCCAGTCATATTTTGTCACGGTAAAAAATCGGGGTTCTGATAATGTAAAGACATCCCAGGCTTAAATATACAAACTGGAAGGAGTACAATTTTTTTCATAATTTCGATTTTAAAAAATTGAACTATAATTTTTTTTATGTTAGGATTTAGAGATCTTTTATATATGATCAGAGTATCTTTACGCACGTTCAATCATATGAACTTTTTCCAAAGGTTTGGAATTGATAAAGAATTTTTGAAGCTCGATCCGTCTGTTTGGAGTCAAAATGAAAGTTACGCCCACGGTTTGAAAATTGTAAAACATCTCAAAGTGATTAATGATGTCGCGGAACGAGGCATTAATTTATTCACTGATTACAATGAAATTCTCACACGGGACGAACAACAGGAGCAGTTTATTCTGCAAATCGTCAGTGAATATCGGATAAATCACCCACATTTTAAAAAGGAAACACTACTTAAAAATTTGTGTTCAGAAAATTGAAATAAAATAGATTATTATTGTTAATTCTTCTTATTTTTCGTCCCGTGTGAGAATTTCATTGTAATCAGTGAATAAATTAATGCCTCGTTCCGCGACATCATTAATCACTTTGAGATGTTTTACAATTTTCAAACCGTGGGCGTAACTTTCATTTTGACTCCAAACAGACGGATCGAGCTTCAAAAATTCTTTATCAATTCCAAACCTTTGGAAAAAGCACATATGATTGAACGTGCGTAAAGATACTCTGATCATATTTAAAAGATCCCTAAATCCTAACATAAAAAAAATTATAGGTCAATTTTTTAAACTCGAAATTATGAAAAAAATTGTATTACTTCAAGTTTGTATATTTAAGCCTGGGATGTCTTTACATTATCAGAACCCCGATTTTTTACCGTAAAAAAATATGAATGGCCAAAAATCATCAGCCGTACCCCCTTCCGAATTCATTTTTACTTTAGATATACCATTCCCCTTTTGTCTAATGATGATATTCCCATATACACTGTTAAAAAAAGACAAAAAAACATTGATAAAGATATTTTCGATGCTATTGAGCATCACTAGATAATTTAAAAAAGTAACATCATCTCTATATGAGTCAATCCATAAAAAAAAATTAGGGTAGGGGGGTGGTGATTTTTTTCCTTGTTGCAGTACATTTGTAAAGTAATTTGTCTAAGTTTCAAATTTTTATATCGTTAATTAGTCCCAGAATAAAATATTGACTGTGAAGACCTGAAAACTCCATGTATTTTAAATGGGAAACTTCAACCGTCGTGGGGGGGAGGTGAATGAAAAACAAAAACTCTGAAAAAATTCAAGGATTATTTTTTATTTATTTGGGAACGATTTGGGGGGCGGCACGAACGAAATTCGATCAGACACTATTTAACGACCACCCTATTATACATATATTCTATGCCTTATTGTTTGATTTATAAATATTTTCATGCATATTAGTCATTATACAACCTGGATAAAGTTGCCGGATAATTTTAATTTATTTACTTGTGATAATAGCAAATCGATTGGTGGTCGATTGATGGTCGTTGATGGCCCACTTAGAACATTTGGTGGTCAACCGTTCTTTTGTAATTAATTAATCAAAATTTACCCGTGAAGTTAGCCGAACAATTTATTTTTTCAACGAATTCAGTTTTCAAGGGGTTCAATCGATTGGAAATCATTTGGTGGTCACGAATATCATAATTAAAACATGTATTTTAAATGGGAAACTTCAACCGTCGTGGGGGGGAGGTGAATGAAAAACAAAAACTCTGAAAAAATTCAAGGATTATTTTTTATTTATTTGGGAACGATTTGGGGGGCGGCACGAACGAAATTCGATCAGACACTATTTAACGACCACCCTATTATACATATATTCTATGCCTTATTGTTTGATTTATAAATATTTTCATGCATATTAGTCATTATACAACCTGGATAAAGTTGCCGGATAATTTTAATTTATTTACTTGTGATAATAGCAAATCGATTGGTGGTCGATTGATGGTCGTTGATGGCCCACTTAGAACATTTGGTGGTCAACCGTTCTTTTGTAATTAATTAATCAAAATTTACCCGTGAAGTTAGCCGAACAATTTATTTTTTCAACGAATTCAGTTTTCAAGGGGTTCAATCGATTGGAAATCATTTGGTGGTCACGAATATCATAATTAAAACATTTGGTGGTTCTTAGTTTTGCCAAAACACCTAAAATAAACGAACAAGGAATCGGAAATATTGGAGCATAAACTTACGGTCGATAATGCAGATATTTCGGGACCGATTTTCCTTTAGGAGGTTTTAATCTTAATCAGAAAGGTGCGCTAATGATAAATAGTCCAATTTCAACGTTTGTTGGTCATTCATTAGCGCAATGTATCAGGTGTCGAAAACATGTAATTTGAGAAGTTCAGAAAGTATCCAGTCAATGCTTCAGATGTCTACTTCAGATATGTTGGTTTTTGAAATTCTTGGTGAGGTCTCTCCGTAGCTTGAGACACCCAGTGAAGAAGAAACATTTTCTCAAAACTTCTGCAATTTCCCCGTCGATGCTTTCGAGGCAGAAGCCAACAACAGATGGAATGTGCAGTGAAAACAATGAAAATAATTATATGAAAGTGATGAAAATCAATTACGTAGTATATAAAACAAGTCATGGAATGAATAATACCAAAGAACAAAGAAGTAACTGGAACAATAGGGCCCGTGTCGAATCTGGCACAGAAAAAGGGGTGCCATTCATTGCCGATAGAATGCGCGCCGATATATCCGTGTAATAGACACATAGAAAGACTCGAAGTCACGCCCCTCACGCTCGCCTCTCTCGCGCTGATGCCACAAAGCCATAATGTCATCCTACTTGTACTAACGTTATAGCATTGCTTGGGCGTATAAATACCCTCTCTCTCTGACAAGGAGAAGTTACACCCCGTGAAATTTTGTTTGGATTCATACTGCTCATAGTTATAGGTCATCACCAAACTTTTATAGTAATGTGTTAAAATAATAGAATACGCTTTTCAGTCATTGTCGAGAAAAAAAGCTTTAAAGAAATCCACATACGTTATGTGGATCATAACGTTAACATTTTTCGGGCGGCCAGATGGCTCAAGTGGTAGCATACTTGACCAGTATGTCAAAGGCGCGGTTTCGATTCTCGATGCCTAATATACTTTTTTCCCACCTTTTTTACATTGAAATTGTTGTTTCTTGCAATTGACTATTAAATTTATTCAAATCAAACGAAAATCTTAATTAAAACCATATTTTTAGGTATTTTTTTCGTCTGAACATTCATATTTTCATTAATTTATTTATGATAAAAGTAAAATATGCGAAAATAATATTGGATTGGCAAATAAGTTCGTTCGATTTTTAAAGTGTAATCAAATACAATTTACCGAACGAACTTATTTGCCAACCCAATATAATTATAATAGAAATAAATATTTACACTTATTTAAAAATATGAATATTATAATAATAATACAAATATATTTCGTTTATATTTTACTTCTATACATTTTTATCTTACAATTTATTCAAATTTGAATATTTCTTTTTATTATAATTATATTATTTTCACATACTTTACTTTTATCATTTTTCTGCATCGATTAAGACCAGTTAGAGCAAAATCGGTTAATAATTATAAGTTTCATCAGCAAAAACGTATCAATCCCCCTGTATCCATTTCTCGGCCAATCCCAGCCTTTGGTGCCTGTCCTACTGTATTTATGCAATTTCTCATACCCATATTTTTCATAAGATTAAGACCTCCTAAAGGAAAATCGGTCCCGAAATATCTGCATTATCGACCGTAAGTTTATGCTCCAATATTTCCGATTCCTTGTTCGTTTATTTTAGGTGTTTTGGCAAAACTAAGGACCACCAAATGTTTTAATTATGATATTCGTGACCACCAAACGATTTCCAATCGATTGAGCCCCTTGAGAACTGAATTCGTTGAAGAAATAAATTGTTCGGCTAACTTCACGGGTAAATTTTGATTAATTAATTACAAATGAACGGTTGTGCACCAAATCTTCTAAGTGGGCCACCAATGACCACTAATCGACCACCAATCGATTTGCTATTATCAAAAGTAAATAAATTAAAATTGTTCGGCCAACTTTATCTAGGTCATTATACTACCTATACTTATAACTTCACAAAAGAATGTACATTTACTTTAATTCGTTCATATAATTATGTATATTTGTTTATTAAAAAACTTCATATGCTTCAAAGAATCGAATATATTAAAATACGATAGACAAAAAGGTCCCAGTAATTCACATATGAACTAACCGAATAGTAATACTATTTGTATTTCTTTTGCTTATGTTTATTATTTATGGTTTTTGCAGTTCTTTATTTTTATATATTTTAAAATATTTTTTAATTTTATATTTTAGGAAGCAGCTAGTCAAGAGATCGCAGAAAAGGAGCGATTGAACGAAAATCAACAAATCGACAAACGAATTGAGGGACACACGAGTTACCGTCAATAATCAAAATTTCAACAAGGTCAAATGCCAAAAGGGATACAAATTTCAGTGCAGTCTTATATAATCTCATATTTTACCATAGCTGTTTTGTAAAATACTAAACGACACGTAAATCTTAAAGTCATCTTTAAGATTTATAAAAGACAACCTCTGCTGCACAGACGTCATAAAGAGGACTTTCGGACAGTATGGGCGCAATCACACTCGTCAAACGCGAAGTGTCGCCCAATGGTACAACGGATCAAGAGGAATTCACGTTATGCTATTGCTCCAGAGTTGCATTCGAACGCGCGTTTGACGAGTGTGATGAGTCCTACATTGTTATTTAAGCATGTAATTCACCAAACACATATATACATATGCATATTACAATATGTGCGCCGCTGATAAAACTATAAAACCATATACCAATTCTTATTAATGTTTTATATTTTAGCGTTTATTATTAATAATATTATGGACATTCCGACTGGGAAAACATTTTTATAAAAATATTCTAAGAGTCGACCACATAAGCAGTCTTGTAACAGATTTCAAAATTCATGTAATATGAAAATTAAATTTGCAAGCTGGTAAAAACGTATGTTTATTATAATTTAGTGATCTTATTTTCGACTCGTGCTAAAAATTTGTAGCACGCTCGAATTGTAACATAATTGTGCCATTGGTCATTTTAAAAACTTTCTCTTAGAATCCTTCAATAATCCGTTAGAAATCATTCTCAAGAACCAATGGTACAACGATGGCATAATTCTACCATGGTTGTATGTACCCATCGACATAGAGAATGGACTGCGTATCGAAGCCTGAAACGTGTCCGCTAGATAGAAAAAGACGGATAGCAGTTACGACCATCGATATACAGGGTGTCCCAAAATTACCTGACCAACAGGGTATGGCGGTGTTCGGGAGGCACCTCTGATCACGAAAATGACCTTCCTTTTGTCCGGAAGGTCATAGTTTTTAAATAGGAGCAGGTCAAAGTTGACCAATCAGAGGAAGGCGTCAAGAGAAACGCAGGCACCAGCGAATTCTGAGTTTTCTTCCCTCGCTTTTGTTTCTCGGTAGCTTGTTTCTTGTTTCCCATAGGCATGTCTTCAGCTGACGTCATCCTGCCCGAAGCTACCGAGAAACAAAAGCGAGGGAAGAAAACTCAGAATTCGCTGGTGCCTGCGTTTCTCTTGACGCCTTCCTCTGATTGGTCAACTTTGACCTGCTCCTATTTAAAAACTATGACCTTCCGGACAAAAGGAAGGTCATTTTCGTGATCAGTGGTGCCTCCCGAACACCACCATACCCCGTTGGTCAGTTAATTTTGGTACACCCTGTATACGCATTTTAGCGGGAATTATGAAAAGAGAATTTTTTTTGCTTACAAATAAGCTCTTTTATGTTGTTATATGTGTATTGTCGGCAATAAAAAAATAATATATTTTCAGGATGCGAAATACAATAATAAGATATTATAATTGTAACGCTTTTGCGCGATTATGTGATGATCACCAAAGTGTGATAGGATATTGTGAAATTATTGTTGCCCGATAGATTGGTAGTAAAATTATGTCGATATCTTCTTGATGCCTTAATGGGTTCCAAAGATCCGCTTGGAAGGTACCTATTTATTATTGTGTGTTGAAGTTATCTTTTAGAACAGTTATTAGCTTATAGGTAATTTCCAGACGAATATTTACTCATTTAGTTCACTTTTGGATAACTTTCTGGGTTGTGCTACTTGAAAATAACGAGAGATTAGAGATGTGAGTTCTTTATTACAAACATTTATATGAAACTATCCTGAACACCAGGTTCTACCTTAATGCATAATAATAAACACTTTTGTATAATACACATTGTGTTTAGAGAACGTGCAGACATTGATAATAATTAAATTATAATTTCTCCCATTTGAGTGTCGGGTCAACCGTGATAACTTCTTTCCATTGCTTTCCATTCTTTAGCTCCTTCATGCAAATACTGAATTTCTAGTAAAATATTTGCTTCGTTCTTGGCTTGCAGTACGCAATCAAGTCAGCCAGGGTTCCATAGTACGTGCACTTCAGCAGATACCCTTGCATGTCTATAAGCTGAGAACAGAAATACGGAAAAAATATACGTTAGCAAACTATTTTTGTTTCTCAATCGAATGACACCAGTTCCATTAAAATGAAATAGCTTTTTTACGATAAAGAACTAAATATCAACTCATAAATAAAATAAATAAAAATTTCAAAATAGATGTCATAATCTCTAAAATATGATATATCGTTTCCCGATCTAAACAATATAAAATGAAATGATTTCACTGTAATTATTAATAGTTAATTCCTGATATATGTATGTGAGACTCACTTTTGACATTTAAAGAATTGTAGAAGATAAGAATCAATGTCGACCCTGTGCCATCAGTTTGATCATTTGGTCATACGTCATTCAGAGGGATAATTCCATTGTCCTTGATTGTTAATGATAGTTTTGTGGCAGATGTCACCTTCACTGTGTAGAATAAGACTGAAAAATATCAACGATTACATTCGGCAATTAACAGCTAAAGAATCCTGTGAATGTTTCTATCTTAACCTCGTTGAAATGTTCCGAGATATCTGAAGTAATCTCGATACGTTGGCAGCTCATACATCTCGCTGTCGCCTCCCTCAAAATTTTCAATTTTCTCAAGTGTACTAGCGGTTTTTCTCATCGCGATTTCGTTCTCTTCCTTTCTCTCTCCTTGGACGTTCGGTCGTTCTCGCTTCTTTTTCAAACCATTCTTAGCTCACTTCACTTGTACGACCAATTGTCAATTTCACTTCGGTCGCGTGACTAGAGCAACGCTTATGGTAAATCTTTAAAGCTTACCGGTACACGATTCTTAAACCAAAAATTCGGCATTTCTCCGTATACGTTCCGCCTCCTGTACTCTAGTCTACCTAAGTGAAGTAAGCCGGGAGAGTTCCGGTATGACCACGAATGCGCGCGGACGTATTTACAACTACGG